ACTGGACATACCCCATATTGAATACCCTGGGTTGTCTACTTTAAAAAAAATATGTACATGTGGGGTGTTATTCAGAGATTTATGACAGATAATAGTGTTACAATGTCACTATTGATAAATTTTAAAAATGTATGTTTTGAAACCGCAATATCCTACTTGTACCTATAGCCCTATAACATGCAAAAAAAAGCAAAAAGCACGTAAACACTGGGTATTTTTAAACTCAGGACAAAATTTTGAATCTATTTAGCAGTTTTTTTCATTCGCTTTTGTAGATGAGTAAAAGATTTTTCAAGTAAAAGTCAAAAAACATGTATTTTTTTCAATTTTTCATCAGATTTTTGTATTTTTTTTAAATTAAAATACACGAGATTATATAAATAATGGTATGTAAAGAAAGCCCCTTTTGTCCTGAAAAAAACAATATATAATTTGTATGGGAACAGTAAATGAGAAAGCGGAAAATTACAGACAAACACAAACACCACAAAAGTGTAAAAATATGCCTGGTCGCAAATGTACAACATCGCAAAAACAGTCCAGTCCTTAAGGGGTTAAATAATTTAAAGAACAATTAGAACATCATAACAAACGCATCTTATTGTAGTGATCATGTTGCTAGGAATCTGTCCCTGCAAAATTATCTATTTCCCTTGCTTTTTCATGATTGTAGGTTAATCTGTTGAGCCTTGAGTCCACCTCTCTGCCCACTCATGTCATATGAGAAATCATCATATTCCTATATACAGTTGTGCTCAAAAACATGTGCAGTGACATCAGTCTAGTCTGTCCACGTCCCACTTTTTGTTTAGCTTGAAAACTACAGTTTTTACTCAAGATAAATAGAGAATAATTTTTTTCTACTGCATTGATGGGGTTTGACTGTGGCTTTTTGACAGGCATGGGCGTCCGCAGGGGGAGCAGAGGGGGCACTTGCCCCGGATTTTTCAGCTTGTGCTGTTATTTTTGGTTTGTGTGAGAATACACTGCAATACCGGCACCGGCCAGTAGGTGGCGCTGTGAATGTTAAAAGGCAGGAAGCTACAGCTTATCCCTGCCTCTCGCTCATGACTGAAACTGCAGGGGAGCAGCACAGAGGCAGGCTACAGAGCAGGTAAGTGAGGGATGGGGGGCACCATTACCCCCTCACTACCCTCAGCATCACCCCCCTCACTATCACCCTCAGCATCACCTCCCCTCAGTATCACCCCCCTCACCACCCTCAGCATCACCCCCCCTCACTATCACCATCCTCAGCATCAACCCCCTCACTATTACCCCTCCTCACTATCACCACCCTCAGCATCACGCCCTCACTATTACCCCCTCACTATCACCACCCTCAGCACCACCACCCTCACTATCACCCCCCTCACCACCCTCAGCATCACCCCCCCTCACTATTACCCCCCTCCCCTCACTATCACCCCCTCTCACACCTCAGCATCACCCCCTCACTATCACCCCCTTTCACACCTCAGTATTACCTCTCAGCATCACCCCTTACTATTACACAGCCCCCCCACCACCCCTCAGCATCACCCCCACCACCCTCAGCATTACCCCTCACCATCACCCCCCGACCACCCTCAGCATTACCCTCCCTCAGCATCACCACTCACCATCAGCATCACCCCCTCTCACCACCCACAGCATCCCCCTCACCCCTCCCTCACCATCACCATCGCCTCCCTCAGCCACCATCACCCGCCTCTCCCTCTTACCATCACCCGCCTCTCCCTCTCACCATCACCCCCCTCTTTAAGCAGCTACCCCATACACATAGGGTACAAGACAAAAACGCAAACATGCTCACAGAGACATACATTCACACACACATGGATACTCTCTGTCAGACACACTCTCAGGCACATACACAGGTAAACTGTGCATCAATGTGTATATGTGACAGTGTGCATATATTGCAACTCTATTTTTTTTTCACTTTTTTGTTAGTGGGGCCTCATGTTTGAGTTTCGCCTCTGCAGAAGGAGCCTCAGAAGAAAAAGAAGACTGTGTCAAATGAAGGAGAAGAAAATGAGATTGGAGCACTTCATTCTGGACACCACTTTGGTACCTGGACCTGGCAGGGAAACTTTGGACCTTCTCATCTCCCCAGGTAAAAAAAAAATAAACAAAAATATCAGTGTTAATGTATTCACTTTAATTTACTGAGTGTCAGGAAACACAGAGGGCCGCTGGGTAGGGGTGCCGCTGATTGGCTAGAGGGTCAGCTGGCACTCTAAGCCAATCAGTAGCTTCCCATTCATGAAAACGTAAAACATTTTTATGAATCAGGAACAAGCGATTGGCTTAGAGCGCCTGACCACTCTAGCCAATCAGCGGCACCCATGCCTGACATCAATCTGCACTTCCTGACACTCCGTTTAAGAAGCTGAATACCACTGAGCGACCTGGAGATCTGGAGCTAGAGAAAGCCTTTGGGGGTAAACCATTTAAGAGTGGTTTCACCCCCTTAAAGGAAAAAGAGCGCCCAGGGGCCTCCTTGCATCATAGCGTTTTCATTTAGTTGAAGTTGTTATGGTGACCAGAATGTTCCTTTAATTTAATTAAAGGAACACTATAGTGTCAGGAATACAAACATATATTTCTGACACCATAATTGTAAAAAAGCTATTCACCTTGGCTTTATGTGAAAATGACTATGCTCCTTCCCTTTCATGACACTGTCAAAAAGGGGCCAAGCATGGATGTCATTACAATTATACCTCCCCCTGGGAAAATTCCTGTGTACGCCCATGGAGACAGGGAGTGGGGAGGTGTAGACTTCTGCCTACATAAGGTATGATTTGTCTCATTTTGGTGCTCCTAGCTGTCAAACTAATGGTAAAACTACACGGGTCAACGTGGTCACAATTGCAACTGGGTTCTGGAATTCTGTCTTATTATATTGCCATTTTGGCAATATACAAAAATAAATTACAACATGAGAGCAATTAGTCAGAGTAATGCTGCTAGGGTTACCATGACAACACCCTGGCTCATTCAGTGATCGCTGGCCTACCAAAGGAGCAGACCACAAGCTTTCCCACTGGGGGATCAAAAAATATTTTTTTACATGAAGATTATACACAATATCCCACACTCAGGCCACCTTACACACAATCACACTCAGCCAAATCCACAGTCAATTCCACACAATAATACTCAATCAGCACTCATACGCAATAGCATTGAACCATCAACTAGTTTTCTGCAGTAAGCTTGTTATGTTTCCTTCCCAGGTTGTAGTAATGTAAACTTTAGTTGGAAAGAGTGCTTACCCAACTAAAGAACAATTTCCTGATAATGGTGAGCTTAATGCTCGTTGTCAACCATTTAAGGACTGTGATGATTGCACAATATTTGGTGCAGTGAAACAGCTGTTAACACTGTTAGACAGTTTCCAGCTAATAGGAATATAGAATAAAAATAGAAACTCTGCCTAGTATGTGATAAACAGCTGTCCAGACCTCCCTTCTTCCTCTTACCAGGTGTAGATCAGTAACATGGAATCCTGAGTTACTCCAAATCAGAACTGGAAGTTGTATTAATCTGACAGCTAGAATACATAACACAAAATAATCAATTCAACAACAAACAGATCTCCAACAACATTTAACTAATCTTTCTTAATATAAGAGATATATATATATATATATACATACATGAGGTCTGTCCGGAAAGTATCTATCCATGTACTATGAAAAATAGAGACATTTATTTAAGAATATGCAAGATAAAAGAAACACTGCACATAGACAATGACGCCTCAGTCCCATTCAATATAGGTGCCTTCAGTCCTGACACAGTTCTCCCATCATCTCTTCCACGGTTCAAAATACTCTGCAAAATCCTTTGTTGGAATCGCCATTAGCTGCCTCGATGTATTTACCTGAATCTCCTATTCCCTTTTAAAGGTGGTTTTTAGTTTTGGGAAAAGCCAGAAGTCTCAGGGTGCAAAATCTTTCAAAAGATTCTTGATCATCTTTGAAGTGTTTTTGCCACACTTTTATTTGCACTGCACTCATTGCATTGTCCCCGAAAGCCTTCTGAATCATCTAAATAGTTTTCGCAGAGGAATGTTCAAGCTTAATGCAAAATTTGATGCATATTTCTTACTATACTCGCTCAGTCAGTTTGGATGCAATGGCCACACAGTACACATGCTCACTCAATGGCGCCTAGCACCCCCACTGACTAGAACAGTAAAGTCGTCATTGTTCACTCATGCGCATTCCAGTCCACTCTCCTTGGCTACCAGGTTACATCGATGTTGTGCAAACTGTTCTCGTTATAATAACAATGGCTGGACTTATTCTGGACAGACTTTGTATGATATATAACAGAAAATGTCACTGAGGGGTTCTGGAGACATGAAATTCAACTCAGAGACTAGAGGTTATTTATGAATGTCTCCAGAAAACCAAGATGTCATTATTTTACTTTATATGCATTTGTTTATGTTGCTTTAAAGTTATAGTTTAAGCTAAAGTTCAGGATTAGGGCTAGTGTAATACCTATGGTTAAGGTTCCATTAATCTTATGGCAACACTGGGACATATATGCCCACATTTACACATTACACAGTCTATTACACATAGTTACTTGCATCTGTTGCAATTTATTATTATTGATATTATTAGTTAATTATATAGTGCCAGCTTATTCCGCAGCGTTTTACAATAAGAGGAGAATTTACTAAATGAGACAATAACAAAATGTAACAGGAACAATAGGTAGTTGATGACACTGCTCAAACGAGCTTACAATCTAGAGGTATTGGGGTAAAAAAAACACAATAGGAAGGGTATTGAGGGAGACAGCCAATAGACATGGTGGGAAAGTAGCAGAACTGGAGGTGAGAGTGGAGTGTGGCCCTTTAGGAGAGAGAAAGAGGAAGGTTTGAGAGATAGAAGTTACTCATGGAGGCCATAAGCAATCTTGGAAATATGGGTTTTGAGGGACTTCTTAAAGAATTGAAGACTAGGGGAGAGTCTGACAGGGGCAGGCAGGCTGTTCCAAAGGTAGCCCTTGAGAAGTCTTGCAGGCGTGAATTTGCAGTAAGGGTGCGAGGAGCAGACAGTAGAAGGTCACCAGTAGAGCGGAGAGACCGAGAGGGGAAAGACCTATGAATCAGTGAAGAAATGTAAGAGGGGGTTTAGTTGGTTTGGGCTTTATAAGTAAGGGTTAGTTTTTTAAATTGACACCTGTAGGGTACAGGAAGCCAGTGTAAGGAATGACAGAGGGGTGAGGTGTGAGAGGAGCAACAGGAGAGAAAGATCAGTCTGGCAGCAGCATTAACCACAGATTGTAGGGGGGCAGTACGGCTTCTGAGGAGACCAATTAGGAGGGAATTGCAGTGATCCATGCAAGATATTACTAGAGCATGAACAAGCTCCTTGGCAGCATCTTGCGTAAGAAAGGGACGTATGCAGGCAATGTTTTTAATATGGAATCAACAGGTTTTAGCAACAGACTGGACATGAGTTGTTCAGCTTTTAGAGGTATTATTAGGTCAAATCACAGACTTGCCAATCATGTCCATCATGGAATACAATTTGCAAAAGAAGGTAAGTTGGGCTATTTACTGTTTTACTGTACTTTGGAGTTTCTCTAAAAATACAAGTCAACTTTAATAAAAGTGATGTCACTGATGGAAATTATATGTACAATGAATTAAAGAAATCTCCCCTTTCAAGGACAGGTAGTAAAAAGTCTGCTCATTCATTTGTTATATTGTTATTTTTCTTTGCATTTGATATTATCCCCATCTCCATCCTGCAACAGACTGGTTTCAAATATTAAAGGGATACTCCACTGCCCAAATACAAAATACATTTTAAAAATTACTGTTTAGAAGATATAACTCAAATAAAAACATGTATGCATTTAATTAGGCATTTTTTCATTTGGGCTATATCTAAAAACAGCTTGCAAAACCTGTTGTTCTCTTGTGTGTTGCCTCTGCATACCTTCCCCTTTCATCCGGCCCAGACTTTCTGTTGCTGTCCAATCACACACTTCACAATGCAACTAAACAAGAAGTCTTTGCAAGATGGGTGCTCTGGTCTATTGCTGCCTCTTCATTGCTGCCTGGGCAATTGCTGCCTTACTTCCGAACCAGGAAGTAACAGGACCTGTTGTAAAAAAGAGGACACAATCTTCACACATAAAGCATTTCAGCACGCTAAAGTGCTTTAGGGGTTTGGAGTGTCTCTTTAACTAAATTTAGCTGTAGAGCAATGGGTCAACTGGCCTCAAAGGGTGCCTGAGCATTTGTAAATTTGCTGAAAAGTATACTGTGGTTATTTATCTATTTTATCAAAGGCACAGTGTCATCCAAAGTACACATTGTAAGCATCATAAAGACTTTTTAAACACCTTAGACAGTTTGGGTGTACAGAGATAATGGTTGATGCACTACATATTATACAAAGATATAATCTAAAATTTATTTCATAAGAATAATTGCAGATTTAAGTATGGATGAACAAAACGAGAGGGACAATCTGCTAAGCAGGAAACTGATGTAAAGGAAATATTGTATATGAACAAAGATGAAAAAGAAAAAGCAAACTTCAAATTTCACTGCTTATTCTTGACAAAGATAGAGATGTATCAACAATGTCATACTTAAAAGTGTGTCAGGCCACCTAAGTAAATAAACCAATAAAATGGGTAGGTACTAAAAATGTGACCCTACATTTCTAATTCATCACATAGAAAATGCATTAAAAAGCTCAAAAAATTAACTTAAGAAAATAAAATATATAAACATTAGTCATCTTTAAGTATCTGTCAGTGCACTGCTTAACCCCTTAAGGATGCAACTTCAAAAACTGGACTTACCCTTAAGGACACAAGCCATTTTTGCATTTTTTGCTGTGTGTGTTCAAACGCAATTTGCATCTCTGTCATTTATTGCACCAACACATATTATATACCATTTTTTAGAGAGAAAAAAGGGCATTAATTTGATGTCACATATACATAGACAAATTCTCATTAATTATATAAAATGAATGCCCAAAAAATGAAAAAACAAACAAAAACAACACATTATGGTTCACAGTTTTGGCAATAATAGGTTGTGCATAATATGTTCAGCTTAGAAAAAGTAGTTCAAAATAAATTCATTTATGTGTCTTGATGTATAGAGTACATAATATGTATTGGATTTCAGCTTATTTTGAAAGTTACAGGTCACAAAATAAAAGGACTAATATAAAATTTCAATGTGAAACAATTTTAGAAGTTGGTATGTTTGTCTTGTAGGTTCAGTAGCCATCACAGAAAACAAAATTGCCACAGAAAAGTATATATTTATATAAAGTAGACATCACAGGCTATTTACCTAAGGTTATTTTGACACTTTTTACATAGTCATTTCATCGCCAATCTCTGCTAAATATTGGAATAAAATTGTGTTTTTTCTCTATTTTGGCATAAACATATAACTAGGTTTTTGTAATGTGTATTTCGTAAAGCTGGTGTGTGCTATTCCTGCACAGAACCCCATATTGTGTTCAGCTATATCTGCAGATTATAACGATAACCCCATTGTATGCCTTTGGCACTATTCTGTGAAGCCATATAGGAGACAAGGCTATTTTAGTTTATATAGTTAGAATTTTCATAGATGGATATGTGATGGGCCTATGTCTCATTTTGGGGTATAATAGTTGTTTGACTGTTCAAATAACCCCACAAAGGGCTTCCATTTGATAACGCAAACACCCCAGGGTATCTTATATGGTGTATATTGTGCCTTAACCTGTTCCAATTTTTTCACCAATTTATGTCAATGTTTGTGGTGAGGGGAAATAAAAAAAAAATGGGATTTAAACATACATGTTGCATTTTTTCAGAGTATTTCTTACACTTGGTATGGACCACTGTCATAAAATCCCCCAAATTATGCTCAGTTACATCTTCTGAGTAAAGTAATATGCCCGATGTATGACCTAGACACTATTTTGTGAAGTTACAGCGTTGTAAAAGAGATTTTAGGTTTTTAAGTGTGAATTTTCATGGAGGGTTTTGATGCATCTGTGTCCCACTTTAGAGCACTTGAGCAGGCTACATATTCCAGCTACACCATAAAGGCATACCATTACTTAAATAAGACATCCCAGGGTATTTCAAAAGGCATATTTTGAACCTTAGCATAGGATCATTTTTCAGCTAGCTTGTACCAAGTGTAGTGGTGATAAGCATTGTTCTGCCTATGACACACAAAGTGAGTTTGCACAGTATATTTTGCAAACCTTATGTGTGCTACGACTGTATAATACTTCATATGTTGCTCAGCTATGTTATCTGAGTACAACAATACCCCCGTATATGTGGACTTTGAAGGGACACATTTGAGACACAACCATTCAGGGTTTTTTTCTAAAGTATTTCAAAAGGTATATTTTGAACCTTAGTTTGTGATCATTTTTTAAATAGTTTGTTCCAGGTGTAGTGGTAGGCATTTGTAGGTGTAGGCATTTTTAATGTCATTTTTTTTACTCTTTTAAACTTTTTTAATTTTTAAAACTTGTTTTTAAACTTAATTTTTTTATTTATTACATTTTTTTTAAACTTTTTTAACTTCCTTAAATTTTTTTTACACTTTTAAAATTTGTATAAACCTTTTCTTTTACTGTCATCCCCTAACTAGCAGTAAGCAGCACTTACAGTAAATTCCCCAATTCTCATAAAAAATAAGTATAATACTGTGATCTGTATTTTAATCACTGTAGGCAGTGATCAACTGGTAGGGTTAATTTTTATTAAAGGACTGGGTAAAGGGGGGTGGGATTTTGTTTTTACTTTTTTGAAACGTTATTAAAAAAAATTCTTAACTTTCTAAAGCTTTTTTAAAAGCTTGTTTTAACATTAACACTTAGCTAGCCTAACACCAAATTCACCACTAACTTCCTCCCACCACAGCAAGCTAAATATATATATTTAAAATATTTAAATTAATTAATAAAATAAATATAACCCATGGTTAAAAAAAAATATACAAGTTAACCCTGAATTCAGTGATCAATTGGCAAGAAAGGGGTTAATTTTTATTCAAAATGGGTAAAGAGGAGGTGGGATTTGAAACTAACTTTATTTTTTTCACACAGGGAGAAGATCACTGCTGATCCATCTCCCTGCACTTCACACTGAACGGGGAAGCACAGGGAGGCGGTTTAGAAGTCCCTGCAGCGCATGTGCTCCTCTGACAGGCTGTCAGAGTGATCACAGCTGCAGGGAGAGCGATATCGCGTGCTTCCGGTCTGCCTCGAATCCTGAGGCAGATCGGAGGAGCATTAACCTCGCGATCGACGCAATCACAGCGATCTGGGGTTAACTTTATTAAATGTTCCATCATGCGTGGTTAAGGGGTTAATGTATAGACAGGTAGCGACCCAACTGTCCATCCAGCAAGTGACCATGTATCCACAATTTGCAGCTCTGTTTTCTTTCTGGGCAAGGAAATAGGCTTCTCCTGTTGCACATGTTCATGTAATGTGTATTCTTAATGCACATAGGGATGAAATTAGCACTTGCAACTTGGAACTAAGTGTTCCAGGCTGCCTGATCATCAGCCCTTGTTAGCTTTAGAGATTGTTACATATTACTTCTATTATACCCCACTCTAATACAAGAGTGCCCTGAGCACCATGCACAATACAATGATGCACATTGTGACTAGACACTATAAATAAATACATTTCAGTTTGCCTATAGCAAAAATGAATAGGTTGATTGTTTCATACAACAATAGATACAATTTTTGAATGAACATCAATCCCTTTAATAAGAATCCCTTACACTATTCACAATAAATATCTCTAGGAGTCTAGGTGTTGACTACATGTTGCCTTCAAAATTATTATATGCCTACCTACACATGCTTTCAATGAATTAAATAGACTAAAGAACAGTCATAGTTGTGGGTTTTTGTTACCAAGTCAACAATGGCTTTTAATACTGAAAACACATTTTTTTTTACATATTTATGCAAAATACCTTATTTTACACCAGTTATATAGCCAAGGCTCGAAACTTCCACTCACCCATTAGCCATTGGCTAGTGAAAATTCCACACTGGTGAGTAGAAATTCACTACTTCAGTTGATGTTTCATGGACCCTCCAGTCTTGCAGTGATGAGTAAATTGTAAGTCTGTCTAATAGCATAGGTCTCAAAATGTTTAGCCATTAATAGTAAACTAAAACAATCATTTTTTGTAAGGCATCTATAGTTATATTGACTGGTGCTGAATATGCTGAAACATCGTGAAGCTCTATGCAAAATACATACTAATTTGGAATTTTGAACTTAAAGAAATCTTTATGGCTAAAGCTGATTTGTGGTGATTACAATTTGAATGTGTTTCCAGCTTCCAACTGATTCCTCTGTCATGTTAGATATTGTTCCAATTAGTGTTAATTGAAAAACACTGATAACATATTTTTCACTTTGTTAATTTATGTGTCAACCCTGTGTGTAGCTCAACATCTTACTCTGGATGTTTCCTATAAAGATTATTGTTTTAGATTAGAAACTATCACAAACATACCAATAAACATCTCACCAAAAATAACTGATATGCAGAAATTCTTTCACTGTTTCTTATTATTTTGGGATTTTGATTATGCTTAGAAAAGAGCAGTCTAGTAAGTTCAGATAGATGTACTTGTAACCATAAATGTAAGATTAACCCAGATGGATACATTATCCATAAACTATATTAGTTATCCTAAAGCGGAGCCAAAAGCAATCTATATAGGAGTATCAGGCAGTATATTCAAGGGTAAAAAGAAGGTAGCAGAGGTTCACTTAATAGCTCATACAAGAGGAGTATTATCCATACCTCAGGGATGAATACTATTTGAAAAGTACAAAGAGATCCCATGAAGATCACTACATAGGAAACATAGCAACATCTCAGCCCTAAGAGGGCTTTTATCAATTCTTAATAGAACAGAACTGACAGATTCTGTGCTGTTGTTATGCCTTGAAGATTGGGTTAAAAAAACATATTATTTAATATGTTGCAGTAAATAAATGCAATTTATTGGTATTTTTCCCTTAATATATCAATGTAATTTTCAAATAACTTGGAAGTTCA